AAGTTACACTGCGTTGTCCTATTTACTTCACCACTGTACGAAGTCAAGTCTATTTTGTTGTCTGAAATATGTGAAATGTTCCGAATCTGCCTTTTCTACACAGCTTAATGGCAGTAGAATAGCGCACACGTACACCACAAAAACCTGTCTGCCTATTGCCATACATAATTTATAATAACCTTAAGTTACATTATGCCTGACTATATTGTTCTCGTGCATCTAGTGGCCAGAAACTATAACTGTCACAATTTCTGTAAACCATTAGTCTAATAATAGGGCGTTCCCATCAGACAAATAACTGCTATTATTTTTGGCGAAGCCTCAGAGGCAAGCCTAATGGTATAGTACTGTGTGTCGTCTGCAAGGATTCTAGGAATTCGACAGGAATTTTGTCCACAGAAATGCAATGTTGTTTTTTTTTAACTCAAGAAGGAAACTTGGTAGGTTAGTGGGTCTTCATGAGACCTTAAAATAAGTAGATTTTAGGCCCCCTAGCAGCTTGTTATGGTACTGCAGCGGGGCTTCCGGTTTCGATATCTCGTGATCTGGGCATGCTTAGATCAACATTTGGATAATTGATAGCTTTTGAGCTCGGGAAGAAGTGACATAAAGTTTGGGCAGCTTGTTCTGAAACTACAGGGCGTTTGGTGGAAAAATCTTCGAGGAATGATAACTCAAGAACTAGTTGATGGGTCCTTGTGATTTTTGGTATGTTGGTAGATTAAGTGTTGCTGGACGTAATTAACTACGGAAATTAGGATCCAATTAACATAATTAATGAGGAAAAACTCTATAGATATGTCGCCCCTCCCCCTGTCTCTGTTTAGGGTAGGTCTTAGCCTGGTATCCAGTCTGATCGTGATTGGGGGTATTGGGGTGTTCAGGCAGGTTGTGTCTTCGGGGGCTCTAAGAGCTTCCCCCGCCCAGTGCAACAGACCGTCCCGGTATGAGTGTTACGCTAATCAGAGACAGTATGTTTGGGGATTTGGTTTCCCCCCAACACGTGGAGGGCTAATTAATCTCTCGTGAAATACACACCGGGAAACCTATGTGAGGCGGGCGGGCCAGAGCTCTTACGGCCCCGAGCTCTTACGGCCCCGACCACGATCAGACTGGATATCAGGCTAGGTAGGTCTGTGAGCTAATGTAAACCGCCTCCTTCACTCTTCTCGCACTCAACCTAATATATGCCTAGTGATGTCTGATTTTAACTTACACATGTCACATGGTATGAAATTTTCATCATTCACCAATAAGGAATCACAGAATTTTCACATTTATTATACAAATT